AAATACCACCGAAGAATATTCTCGGACAATGTCGGGACTCGCCACGTGGACGAGAACCCCAGATATAGTCTCCTTTAGGGTTTCGCAATAACGAGAAATAGTGCCACGTGGGTGAAATGTGTACGTCCGTTGCGCAGATGCTATTTTGCCCGCGTGGCGGGGGTCATAACTCAAATTTCATCTCTCTTCTTCAATTTGACCTCTCCCTCGGTATTGACTACAGTAAGAATGCGGCAACACAAAACGCCATAGCCAAACCATCACAGGCAACAAACCCTTGTTTCTTCCTCTTTCTTTCGCGTTTCCTAGGAGGACGGCGGCGGCGCGGCGAGCTCGGGGAGCTCGAGCAGGCATCAAATCGATTGGCACTCGTCGGCAGGAGCTCTCGCGGCAGCAACGGCGGCGCCGCCGCCTTAACGGCGCCGCTGCATTCATCGGCTCTCCAATCCGGCCGGCGCTCCCGGCTCTGGATCGCGGCATTAGGTGCGGCGGCGAGGCGTCACAGATGGTACGCTTGGAGCTAGGGTGAGATTTTTGCCGCTTTCGCCATTGCTCGCGGCAGGACGGGGCATGCGGTAGAGCGCGTCATTGCACCGGCCGGTGCGGTGGGTTCTTTTCCAGAAGGTGAGCTATTCTCCTTTCTTCTTGCTTTTCTCGTTGATTGCGCTATGGCGCACTTTTGGGGGTTTTGGAGAATCGATTGCATTTGCGGCATTCATTGTGTGAGTTTTTTGTGAGATCGTGATGCAAGGTTGGAGTCCTTTGCTTGCTTGTTGCATTCCATTTTTGCTGTTGTTGCTGTTCTAAATCCTGTTTTTTTTTCTCTTTTGTTCTTGTAGGTATGTTTAAGAATCAGCTCCAAGAGCTTGCTCAGAGGAGCTGCTTCAATCTTCCTGCGTATTCGTGTATAAGAGAGGGCCCCGACCATGCCCCTCGATTTAAGGCCACTGTGAATTTCAACGGGGAGGTTTTTGAGAGCCCAACATACTTCAGCACACTGCGGCATGCCGAGCATGCTGCTGCTGAGGTTGCTCTCAATACTCTATCTCGGCGAGGGCCTCCACAATCGTTGGCTGCGAGGATTCTGGTAAAAGAATGATTTTGTCTGTGTTGTGAGATCTTAATACTATTTGTGCTTTTGTTTTTTAGGATGAGACTGGAGTATACAAGAATCTCCTGCAAGAGACTGCCCAGAGGGCTGGTGTTCCATTGCCTATTTACACCACGGTGCGCTCGGGGCCCGGGCACTTGCCGGTTTTTACTTGCACAGTGGGGGTAGGGGGTATGATTTTTACTGGAGAAGCTGCGAAAACGAAAAAGCAAGCAGAGAAGAACGCGGCCATGACCGCATGGAGCTCTCTCAAACAATGTAAGTTCTTTGATGTCGAGAACGCGTGTTTGATGATTGAGAGTTTGTTTTTCACAGACGCGAAGCAAGGTGGAACGTCAGCAACTTTATTGGAGTCGGAAGTGACCGAAGAACAGGAGCAGAATTTTGTAGCGCGTGCATTAGCTAGAGCTCACGGCAAAGACGAGAGGAGCGTGCTGCTCGCCCAGCAGTCGACGCCATCGAGGACGAGATTGCTACCGGGAGGTGGTCACAGCGGGCAGTATCATCCCGGGAGTTGGCTCCTCGACGCCAACTCGGAGACGTCCCAGTCTCACAGGTTTATGCACAGCTCTCAACACCACAGCAACGGCATGGTTCTTGGGAATGGTCACTCGTACCGCTCCTTACCGCGACGAATGCCACCAGGGGCAGGGACTTCTCGTGACGTTCCTGGCATCGTTCCCAGCCGGAGCATGGCAGGAAACATGCCAAGGGTGATCCCAACGCAGCTGCGAAGCATTCCTACGGTCATTCGCAGGGACAGACATGACATAAGTGTGCCTCTGGAAGAGCACCAGAGGGACGAGGACGAATGGCTTAGAGGTGGCAGCAGCGAAAGCAAACAGGATGATCGCAGGGAGCTTAGAGACTCGGAGGCGAGCAGCTCCAGCTTCAGCTCAATGTGGTCGAATCCATCGTCGTCTCACTCTCGTTCGCCGTGGTGGGGGATGTCTTCTCCGGCTTCTTCAGGATTCGACGGCATGCCGGGGCCGCCTTACCGTGCCGGCTATGGAATGGCTCAGCCTGTGAGGATTCGCTCGGTGGTGGCTGTGAGTGCCGCGCCGCCTCCTCGGCGTCCCGAGCCGCGAGTCGAGAACGAGAGTGATTCCAACGATGGTGAAGCGGCTACTCGTCAAGTGCTGAGCCAGCTGAGTTTGTGAGATGGACAAAGGCAACGAAGATGGCGATCGATCGATCAATGCGACGAAGACGAAGGAGACCAAAGAAGCAGTGGAAGAGGAGGAAGAACAGAGGAACTCTGGGATTGAGGAAGAGGATCAAAGAGGCTGGAAGGACGAACGAAGCTATATCTTAAACGAGGACGACTTGGATGGAGAATGAGGTTGGTGTTTTTGTCTTCTTTTTTTCTCTTTTTTTTTTCCTTGATTTGCATTCATTATATAAATTATGGGAAAATTTTCAAAGGCCTTGCGCTAGGGCAATTAAAAACGTTTCTAGGGTTTTTGGAAGCGCTCTCGCTCACGACGATCGCCGGTGTCTCGCGGCTCGCTCCCTGCGCTGCGCTGCGCTGCCAATCGCGCCATGCCTAGGTAAGATCGGCGCCTGTTCTTTCCAGTTCCGAGATGGATTCGATCGATTTGCTCCGTGTGATAGATACTACTGCGATTACTGTGATACTTATCTCACGCACGACTCGGTAAGGCTGGAGAGCTTGTTCTTCTTTCTTGCTGACCTACATTTTGTGTGCAGCCGTCGGTGAGGAAGCAACACAATGCGGGGTACAAACACAAGGTAAGGATTATCAAAATTTGTAGAGGAATGACGTCCTTTCTATCTTTCAGTGCTTATAGTGTTTTTTAGTTCCACTCCTTTCTAGGATTTAAATGCTTTTTTTTCTATCTTTTGTTTGCTTTTTTTTCTATCTTGCGTTCACTCAATTCTTATAATGTTTTAGTTCCACTCCTTTCTAGTTTTCGTTTTCTTCATTCTGTGATCTTTTTAGTTCTGGCTCCGTTTTTGTGATGAATTTTGATGTTCGATTTCATTTTAGTGTGTTCTTGTTCATGTTCGGTTTCGTGGTAGTGTGTTCTTGCGTTTTCGTTTCAGTTTTTTATTGCTTTCTGCTAGTTTTTATAGTTCTCAAGCTTGACGTTTTTTTTTATCTTGTCTTTCCAGGCGAACGTCAGAGCTTACTACCAACAGTTCGAGGAGCAACAGACCCAAAGCATCATCGACCAGAAAGTCAAGGAGCACCAACACATGGCCGCCTTCCAGGGATTCAAGCAGATGGTGCCAGTGCTCTCACGGCCAGGCATGGGACTGCCGGGCTCGTCTCCGGCACCAATGATACAACCAATGCGTCCGCCAGTGATGCATCCTGGTGCACCAGGTGGAGGTGAGCAAAAACTTCTCCATTCATTCCAATTCCCCTTTTCTCTTGTCTCGTCTTTGTTTGTTTCTTCACAGCCAGAGTCTGCAAGTCCTTACAGTCCCTCTAGTCTTTTCTGCGGAAGCATTTGACTGACATGCAAGCGTTTTTTTCTTTTTCTTTGTGCCTTTTTTTCGCAGGCTATCCTCCTGGCCCCGGTGGATTCCGGCCCCCAGTAGCACCAGTTCCTGGCAACACGCAACCAAACGGCGTTTACAGACCTCAAATGACACCACCGGGTGCTCCAGGTCGACCACCACCCGGTTCCACAGCTCCAAACGGTATGCCTTCTTCCGGTGGTGGCTACTCCCAGCAGCCAGTGGTACCTGGTCAATCCGGCGGCGGCGGCGGCGGTGGTGGTGGTGGTGGTGGCGGCTATGGTGGCTACGGTGGTTATTCACAGCCACCACCGGGTCCCGGCTATGGTTCGCAGCCTCCTCCTCCTCGACCAGGTATGTCCTCTGGCTATGGTTACTCTCAACCTCCTCCAGGCAGCGGAGATTGACAAACCAAGTTCCGCGATCTCGATCTCTCCGAGGGAAGTTCTCTTTTTCCTTGTTCTCAGCTCTACTTTTCGTCCCTTAAATGCGTTTTCTATGGCTTTAATACTATTGTGGTGGTGGGATTTAGCAGCAGCTAGATCGAACATGGCATGAATTTGTGGGACGAGAGCCGTGAATCAAAACGTGTTGTTCTTCCTCTATTTTTTTTCGCTCGCCGTTTGTTTTGGTTCTTCCAAGCCAGGGACGAAGGAAAGGACAGATTACTTGGGCGCGAGAGGCATCTGTACGTGTGGCAACTAGCTATGTGCTCAAAACGCGTATGGAGGCGATAGAGTGGTGTGTGCAATTCGCAAAACACGAGCACTTTTCGTCCGGTTAAAGATCGCGCCGCCCGCGTTGTCCACGTGTCCTACGGACAGAATATTTATAAGAAGATTCCTGGAGATGCATCATGGGGTTAAATGTCATGGCCATCATGTTTTTATTTTATGACCCATTCGATGGAGTCATACTTTAATCTGAAATCATTGTCTTTCAAAAGTCTTCAGTTCTCAACAACGCACAAAAACACTTGCATTTTTTTTTCCATCATCAGTCTCATGTTTCAAGAGGGTGCATGACATAATCTGAGGTGTTATCATTGAAAACTATAATTTACTTCCAGATCTTAAATCATATCCCAGAAACAAATATAAAATCGTAATCTATTATCACTACTCCACCATGAAAAGTAAGTCACTAAAGGCTGACCTGAATCAGAAGATGAATGAACAGCATGACATGACATGTCATGAACTCATACTATGGCCATTGTATGTATATAAAAAGTACATAAGTTAATCAATCAATAGAAGTACGACACGTGGACTACGTGCGGACGTGCGCGGCGGGGGCAGTGTCCCAAAGAGAGCGAGGTAGCTTTGTTTCTTCCTGGGCATTACTTTATCATTTTTGCTTTACCTCCGCGTGGTAAAAAGCGGTGAAAGGGTTAAACCGTTCTCCCACTGCTTTGCATTTTTGTGTGTGTGGGGAGTAGTGTGTCCTTGTAACACAGTAGCGCCTCTCCCCGGCTAGGGTTTAGTGAAGCGCGCTGCCAAGAGGAAGAAGCGGAGGAGTAAGCAAGGGCGCGGCGCTAGCTCGCCACTCCATCTCGCGAATCTATCTATCCGCGCGACGAATGGTGTGCCGAAATCCGGTAGGGTGGGAGCAGCAGCAGTGATTCTCGCATCGGCGCCCTGGCTGGGAGATTTCGGGCGGCGGATGGGAATTCCGTGGCGCTGAATCCATTGGATCGGCCACGGATCAGGTGGATCGGCAGGACAAGACTTGTTCTAGAGCCGCGGCAGTGGCGGCAATTTCTTGCTCTTGGTCCGATCTGCCAGAGCTGACGGGGTTTCCAATGCGTTGCTGAGAGTGGTACGGAAGGCCGTAGTTCGGAGAAAATGGGATGTATATTTTGCTTTGGAGGAGGCAAGCAGCAAGAGAGCCGGGTTGGAAGCAAGCCTGGAGCTCGGACGGCTCAACAGGCACCTGGGATCGTGGAGAAGGAGAAGTCTCTGGCAAAAATTCCCTCCGGTAAGATCGCTGGATGCCTAATTTTTGTTCAAGTTTTGGATGCCAGATCTCATGTCTACGTTTCTGGCTTTTCTTCCGTTTTTTTGCTACTATAGATAAGGTGAAGCCGGCAGCTTCTTTGGATCGCAAGAAGGAAAATGCACCTGGAGATTCCACTCCAGCCATTGCTGCTCAGACTTTCACGTTTCGAGAGCTTGCAGCAGCCACGAAGAACTTCAAGGCCGAGTGTCTCTTAGGTGAGGGTGGTTTTGGGCGAGTGTACAAAGGACGACTGGAGAATTCGGGACAGGTTTGTGGATTGGTTTTGTAGAGCGGTTTTCTTATACGTTTGTTGTTGTGAATTCAGGTAGTCGCTGTGAAGCAGCTGGATAGAAACGGATTGCAAGGCAATCGAGAGTTTTTGGTCGAGGTTTTAATGCTGAGTTTGCTTCACCATCCAAACTTGGTCAACCTCATTGGATACTGTGCAGACGGTGATCAGAGATTGCTAGTTTACGAGTTTATGCCGCTCGGGTGTTTGGAGGATCACTTGCATGGTACGATACTTTCTCTTCGTCTTGACGGGCTTACCTTCCTCTTGCTTTTGCTAGATATTCCCCCGGAGAAAGCCCCGCTCGACTGGAACACGCGCATGAAGATCGCGGCTGGTGCTGCGATGGGTCTAGAATATCTGCACGACAAGGCCAATCCGCCGGTGATTTACAGGGACTTCAAGTCATCCAACATTCTTCTTGACAACAATTTCCACCCAAAGCTCTCCGACTTCGGGCTTGCAAAGCTCGGCCCTGTCGGTGACAAGACGCACGTCTCAACGAGAGTTATGGGGACTTACGGCTATTGTGCACCAGAGTATGCGATGACGGGACAGTTGACATTAAAGTCGGACGTATACAGTTTTGGAGTCGTGCTACTAGAGCTTATAACAGGTAGAAAGGCGATCGACAACTCAAGACCAGCTGGAGAGCACAATCTTGTGGCCTGGGTACGCAGCTTTGCTACTTTTAGTACTGACGATGTGGCAAAGCTTGTTCTGACCGTTGTTTTGTTTTCATCCAGGCAAGGCCCCTGTTCAAAGACCGGAGAAAGTTCCCGTCTATGTCGGATCCGCTGTTGCAAGGCAGATATCCAATGCGCGGCCTGTATCAGGCTCTGGCAGTCGCTGCGATGTGCCTCCAGGAGCAAGCGGCCACGAGACCACTGATCGCCGACGTAGTCACCGCTCTAAACTATCTCGCCAGCCAGACATACGACCCCGGCGTTCATCCTCTCTCTAACAGCAGGCTGACGCCACCCTCGTCTAGAGAGAAGCGGGAGAAGGACAAAGAGAAAGAGAGGAAGCTGTCACTCGCAACTCCTGCTGCTGCTGCTGCTGCTGCTGGTGATGATCGCGGCAAGAACAATGGCGTGCATTCTCCGAGCGTCACAGCCAAATCGTCCGCAAAGTCATCTCCAAACGTCCGTGTGAAAGACGAGGACAGTCCCAGGAACTTACTGGAGGAAGCCAAGCTGCACGATAGCAGCAAGCAGCGAGAGGCGGACGACTGGGAGATGTACGACAGGAACTCGATGAGCCCCAGCCGCACCAACAAGATCTTCAAGGAAGGATTCAAGATCTTGGATCACGACCGGGAGAGAGCGGTGGCGGAAGCAAGGATCTGGGGGGAGAGCTACAGGGAAAGGAAGCGAGGCAACACACAGGGTGGTGGTGGCGGCGGCGGCGGCAGTGGTGGTGGCAGTGGTGGTGGTGGTGGTGGTGGCACCGATTGCTAGAGCGAGAAGAGCAGAACGAGCGAATTTTGTCCTCTGAGCTGATGCCTCACGAGCAGGCCAGGTTTTAAAATTTACATTTCTCTCCCTCTCGCTGTTACAGTGATCTTTTCTTTTTTGTTCTTGTTGTATAGCTTCCAGAGCTCTTCTAAGTTCTCCGAGCGGCTATAGCTTCCAGAGCTCTTCCAAGTCCTCCGAGCGGCTATAGCTTCCAGAGCTCTTCCAAGTTCTCGGCTACTTTCAGTGGTGCCAGGGAAAGCCGGACGTGAACTGGGCCTCGAGCTTCTCGTTGGTCTCGTACAGGATGCTGTCCTCGATCTTATAGTCGGGCTTGAGATCGTCCAGTCCCTCGAGCATGAAGTCGGCCTCGTCGATCACTTGGTGGAAGTCGATGGGTGGCGGCGGGGGTTGCAGAACCGGGACCACGATTCGAGGCTGGTGATTGAGAGCTTGCGGCGATGACGATGACACGATGCTGCCACTGGGGGATTTCTTAAACTTGAGCTTGACGACGCCCGCGCGGCTACTAGGAGCTCTCTCCGTCTCGACTTTCGTCCGCTTCCTCTGGTGGATTTCTTCCAAGCTGTCTCTCCGCGTGGACGAGGATTTGTCGCCGCTTCTCGAGAACCTGGAACGAGGAAAAAGAAAAAGAAAAAAAGCATGAGTTTCTTTCTCCATGCTCGAAGTCGATCGATCGCTGCTGTGAGAAAAAGTGAGCTTTGTTTTTTACCTCTCGCGGAGTATCTTGAACGCTTCCTTCGTGGCATACGGCTGGCCTGTCTTGGGATCTTTGTACCTGCGCAAAGACGCAAAAAACAAAACACCAGATTTTTGTCCCAGTTTTCGCTTGTCCTTGCAAAGAAGAGAAAAAATGACTCACCTGGCTGGCTGGCCTGTTACAACGCATAAAGCTTTCTCGGGATCTGGCGTAGAAAAAAAGAAAAGGAAAAAACAAGAGAGAAAGTGAGAATCGAGGGTGAAAACGAGAAAGAATGAGAAAGGAGAGTGATTCGTTTACACGGCTTTGCTTTGGAGTTAATGGCGCTAGGAAGCGTGCTCACTTTGGTGAACTCCAATATATTGTATCCTGAAAGTGTGAGAGCGTTAAACAAAGACGATCTTTGAAAATGCTCGAGATTGCAGTACCGCCTTTGGAAATGAATCTGACTTGAGGACCATTGTACACCGTTTTCTGTATGATTGCCTTCTTCTTAACCTCTTCTTCTCGAGCGAGCATGCGTTCCAGAGACTGTAAATTGATAACCTCTGCGTTCGTAATGAATGAGTCGAGAAAAAAACATGGAGTGAATGTACCTGTTTGAGCTGCCTCGAGAAGCATGTCTTCCTGAGACATCTTCTTCTCTTCTTCCCGTTTTCTCTTCACTGGCTGGATAGAACAGCGAAAACGAAAAAAGCAAAAGATCAGGCAAGACGAGAGAAGTCTTGCATGAAAACTGAAATCGTACCTTGGGTGTGGTTTGCAAAGCTGCTTTGGCGGCTCTCTCAGCTTGCCTCGCCACAACGGACACTCTCGTGGATTTTCTGATGATCCTCTCGCTTTCTCCATCGCCATCCTCCTGATCACTCGGCCGGGGCGGTGCCTTTTTCTTTGGCTTCGGCTTGTCTGTGCGTGCAACGTTTTTCAGTAGAAAGCTGACGCTCTTTTTCTTCTTGTCCGCCCCGGGCTTCTTGTAGGGAAACTTTCTCTTCTTTTTGACAACCTCTCTATAAAATGGAAAAGAAAAGAAAAAAACGCTAAGAACTTTTCTTCGAAAAGAGAAAGAGTGAGAGAGCTTACTTTTCTTCTTTAACTTCGTTTTCGGATTCAGGTCCCTGCAAAAAACTCATACCAATATCACACGAAAAATAAAAAGCAAAGAATGCGAACCTCGTCTTGATCAAAGTCACTGTCGAATTCATCAACCTCTTCTGCCTCTTCCTGATATTCCTTATCATTGTTTTCCTGCGAAGAAGCAAAAATTAAACGCTCTAGAGCACAATGTAGCAGTGATCATCACCTCCTTGAACGCTTCCTGGCCCCAAAACGAGTTATCCGCCTCAACCTCATCATCCAGCAGCTTCGTGAGCCTAGAAATCCGATAAAAAATCGGGCAAATCTTCCCAAAAACCCCCACCTCTTCCCTCGCGTCGCCCGCGCCGAGCGCGGCAATTCCTCCATAGCTCAAAATCCCAACAAGAGCCCTAGATGCAACGCATATTCTCCACCGAAAGTCCACTTACCAGAATATCCTCCGGACCTTCCGTGCGGCAGACATACGTTAGCATATTCTCCCAAAGCTAATCTTAGCCGCTTGTGATTGGCCACCGCAAGATAAAGACGCCGCACGCGGCAGGAAAACCGCATCTGCGGCGCCGCACGATCGGACGCACGCCACGAACTGGCGGCAAAAAGCCAACTGTGCGTTTGCTCCACACACATTCTCCCTCTCTTCTTCTCTCACATACATTCTTGTTTGCCACAGAGCTTTCGGGGAGTATCCCTCTCTTGGCTATGGCGCAGGGTTAGGGTAAGAGGCAGTGTAGGTCTTCGCGTCTTCGCGTCTTGGCGCCTTTGGCGGCTCTGGTGCTGGCGCTTTCGCGGATTAGCTTCTTCCTCGCGACGCGAATCAGAGGCGCTGGTGACCGGCGCTGCGTTTGCGTGTGATTCCAGGTGAGAGCGCCAGATCGATCGCTAGGGTTTGAATCTTCCGAGAGTGACAACAGAGCTCTCGGCAGTTATTAGGTTCTAGATCGTTTCGCGGAGCTTGGAATATCGTTCTAACGTTTTTGTGTTCTAGGATGCGCCCAAGGCAGCTAGAGTTCTAGCGAGCTCGGCTTTGGGTCGTTTTTTTTTTTACTTCTTCTTGCGCAATGGCTGCTGAGGGGCACATTCACGCTCATCACCAAAATGTGCACAGTATGCACGTCGACGACACGGATGAGGTGGGAGAAGAGATCGAGGGGGTAAACCATCTCCATCCTCACTCTCATATGCATATGCACGAAGACCACGGGCTCCACGATCACCACCACGACATTGAGATCGAGGACCAAGACGACGAGGAGCAAGATGGCGAGGGCCTGGACGAGGCGGAGATGCATTCCGATGGTGGTCACCCCGTAGAGCCTCCGGCGGCTCTCACCGGACGGTCTCATGCCACGACCCAGCTCACGCTCTCGTACCAAGGAGAAGTTTATGTCTTCGATACAGTTGCTCCAGAGAAGGTACTGTTTTTTGCTGCTCTTCATTCGTTCTCGTGGTCTCCTGGTGTCATGATCAACTAAAAACTTGATTTTGATCTTCGGTTTTGGCAGGTCCAAGAGGTGTTGCTACTGCTGGGAGGCCGGGAGATACAGTCGAGCCTCCCTGGAGCGAGCATGCCCGGGCACCACTATGGGAAGGTAATGCCACTGTTCTCGTATGTATATTCGAACCAAGTGTCAATATCTCTGGGCTTACAGATCGCTTGGAATGAAAACAGGGCCTTTCGGAACTCCCGTCGCGAATGAACATGCCGCAGAGAATCACGGCGCTCACGAGGTTCCGGGAGAAGCGGAAGGAGCGCTGCTATGACAAGAAGATCCGCTACACTGTTCGCAAGGAAGTTGCACAGAGGTATTGAGTGTGCGGTGGAACTGTTGTGCTTTGCCTTTCATCAATTAATACCAATCTCTTCTTGTTTTTTGTGTCTCTTTTCTCGGCAGAATGCATCGGAAGAAGGGTCAGTTCGCGTCCTCCAAGGTACTCCAGGAGGAAGCGGCAGCCAAAGCTAATGGAAGCAGTCCTCCAACACCTGGACAACCCACTCCACCGGGTGGTGCTCCTCAACCAGAAATCCTGTAAGTCATCTGGCCTTTTGCAACTTAGTTTCCTCATCTTTTCCTTTCTTTGTTCTGTCTCTAGATGCACACATTGTGGCACTGGTGAGCGATCGACACCGATGATGAGACGAGGCCCCTCTGGACCGAGGACCTTGTGCAATGCCTGCGGATTAATGTGGGCCAATAAGGTAGACACCCGAGTTCTCTCTATAATCCCGGTTTCGCTCTTAAAAACTCAAAAGCCGTTTCAGGGTGTCTTGAGGGACCTCTCCAAAAACGCACAAGCACCAGGCTCCGTTCTCCAGATTCCCACTCTTACACAAGTAAGCTCTCGAAAGCTCCTCCAAGGTTTCCATTTTTCTCTTAAGTTTTCCTCTCGAAGTTTCCATTTTTCTCTCTTCTAACTTCTCCTTGTTGTAACAGAGTGAATCAGAAGGCCACAAACCTGACCCAGCCTGAGATACAAAGCATTGTTCTAAAGCGAGAATAAGAACTCCATACAAAGCAAAGGAACGAGAAGAGGTGGGTGATTCGCTGTTTGATGCAATATTGTACACGAATGTGTTCATAGAAGCATACTTAAAATTATAGATTCTCCTGTTCTTGCTGTAACTTGTTGCCATGAAACCAAATGTACTAACATGGAAAAAGTCAGTTTCCATGGTATCGATTGTAAAAATCCTTGATACAACCTTATTGGAGTTGGAATCGAAGCGATTTGTTTTACGGCGTTGTGGTGGTCTCAGTCTCTGGCCCAGACTTGAGATCGAACTTTTCCTGGAGTAGCGTGAGAACTTCTGCCAGAGATCTCACCTTGAAAGTGGGGCGTTGGAGCAAAGACAGATGCGAGACGATGTATTTGTCGTCTTGATCTAAGAGACAAGTCGCTGTTCCAGCCTTGTTGCCACAAACAATCTACAAGAACTTATGAAATTCAGAAGCAATAGATCGAAATCGAGAACTTACATCATCTTTTGGATGGTCTCCAACCATGAGAACTTCGTGCGGGGAAACTCCCCATGCGCTACAGATGTGGAGGAGCGGGGCCGGATTTGGTTTGTATGGACGGAATTCTCTGCTTAGAGCTGGGCTAAAGTGTGGTTTCTGCGAGGAAGTGAGTAATTAGCTACGATCGAAGAGAGAAAAGGATAGAGTACCTCGAATCTGGCATGGAAGTAATCGACAGCAGCCTTGACGTTGCGAGTGATCAATCCCCTCCTGCGATTTACTGCTCAAAAACTTAGGGAAGAACTAACAAGCTTCACGTTACTTACTTGAGCTTCTTCTCGTCGATGAAGTCACACAGCTCCTTCGCTCCTACACACACAAGAACAGAGAACTGAAATTTCCCGAATTGGAGCTTGTCCAAGCCAAATTCCAAATCCAAATCTGTGAGCGCTTACCAGGCATGAATTGGAGCTTGTCCAATCCCTCCTTCTCGTACTCGGCAATCGTCGCATAGGCGCGCTGCTGCTCCTCCGGGCTCCACTGCTCAATCTCGTGCAAAATATCGATCGCCTTGTCCGAGCTCGGCTGATGCCGGCTCCCCAGCACCGCCCTGTACAGCGCCGGGAAATCGATCACTGGAATCGTGAGAGTGCCGTCCATATCGAAGACGACGCCGCGCAGTGTCCCGCGCAATGCGGGCAGCGCCATAGCCGAAATTCGCATAAACCCTAAGCTCTGTTTTCTAGGGTTTTTATGGGCCTCTTCTTTTTAGGGTTCTAACGATCCAAGATTTGGTGGTATTCCATTTCGAAATGTAGCCGGCCGGCGCGGCTCCCGCCAAATCGCCGTCCAATCGCCGCAATCCACGTGCCTCCTTTCAATGTGGGCGGGAAAATATCGCAACGAGGAAGCTTTTCGGCTATAGGGTTTTATACCGTGTGGCGGTTTAGGAGGGAGCGTTACTTGGAGGCGCTCAATCGATTCCTCCGCGAGCTTGCTAGCCTTGCTCATTTCGGTCCCGCTGCTCGTCCGAGAATTCCCAGGTGAGATTTCTAGTGTCGGCGGCTTCGATCTGTTGCTAAGCCTTGCAAATCCAGGAAAATGTATGTCATCAAGAGGGATGGGAAGCAAGAGGCCGTGCATTTCGACAAGATCACCGCCCGGCTCAAGAAGCTGAGCTATTCCCTCAATCCCGACTACTGTGATCCCGTGATTGTGGCACAGAAAGTATGCGCTGGGGTTTACAAGGGTGTTACTACCAGTCAGCTGGACGAATTGGCTGCCGAGACTGCGGCTTCCATGACTACAAGTCATCCTGACTATGCAATTGTAAGCTAGAAGCTTTTTCTCGTTTGTTCTGCAAGCCTTTTTCTTTGTCAGTTTACTTATAGTTTTCACAGCTTGCTGCCAGGATTGTTGTCTCGAATCTTCACAAGAAAACTAAAAAGTCCTTCTCAGAGACGTAAGTTTTCTTCGAGAAGTTCTCTATTGTCTAACCAAAGCTGGGCTATCAGTGTGAAGGAGATGTACAGCCACGTTGACGAGAGGTCTGGACTGAAAGCTCCTCTCATTGCTAATGATGTCTACGATATCATTATGAAAGTGAGTATTCCCGTCATTGGTTCTCCTTTTCTGTTCTCATCAGTTTCTCTTTCTCTTTTCGTCCAGAACGCGGCGAAGCTTGATAGCGAAATCATCTATGACAGGGATTTCGACTATGACTACTTTGGATTCAAGACGCTCGAAAGATCATACCTCTTGAAAGTGAACGGGAGAGTCGTCGAGCGGCCTCAACACATGCTCATGCGAGTATCTGTAGGCATACACAAGGAGGACATTGAAGCTGCAATCAAGACGTACCATCTCATGTCTCAGCGTTGGTTTACCCATGCCTCACCAACACTGTTTAATGCTGGGACTCCTCGGCCTCAGGTTGGTTGCTTCGTGATTCTCCTTTTGTAGTTTACTTCTCACTGTGACTTCTACAGCTTAGTAGCTGCTTCCTCCTCTGCATGAAGGAGGATAGCATTGAAGGCATTTATGATACCCTGAAGGAGTGTGCAGTAATCAGCAAGTCAGCCGGGGGTATCGGCCTCTCTGTCCATAATATTCGCGCCACTAACAGTTATATCCGTGGAACGAACGGCACGTCGAACGGGATTGTTCCCATGCTTCGAGTGTTCAATGATACCGCTCGCTATGTCGATCAAGGGGGAGGCAAGAGGAAAGGTATCATGTACAGCTTTTCAACATTTATAATCATCATTATTACTTTTGTTTCGTTTTTTACCACATGCAGGAGCTTTTGCGATCTATTTGGAACCGTGGCATGCAGATGTGTTTGATTGGCTTGATCTTAAGAAAAACCACGGGAAGGTAGTGTCTTTTTGTGCTGCAATTCATTTTTAGTTTCTTG